TATGTATGTATGTATGTATGTATGTATGTATGTATGTATGTATGTATGTATGTATAATACACACACACATACACACATTCTCACACATGCACACACATTCACTCACAGTTATCCAACAACGAGGAGGCCTTTGGTGATGAAGTGGGTTGTAATATTAAGTTAAACACTCAAGCCCTGCTAGAGGTCAGGAAATAACTGACTGTAAGATCCTCATCTCACAGTGTAGAATTGTCACTTGCCAAATAAGCAGCTCTATGGTTTTGTTTTTTGTACTGCAGATACTATAAATTTGTTCGGTTTGTTTTTTGTTGTTTTGTTGTTGTTGTTGTTGTTGTTGTTGTTGTTGTTGTTGTTGTTGTTGTTGTTGTTGTTGTTGTTTTTTGCATTGACAAAAGAACGGCTTTAAATTTTGGGAAGGAAGAAGGAATTAACTTCGAATGTTGCTCGGAGGGTGGCCTGAATGGCCTATACTTTTCGATTTTAGGACATGGTTGAAATAAGCGATGGTGCTGGACAGAGCACACATAATAGAGCTGGGCGAAGAATTGATTCCGGAACCGATTCCCGTGGTTAGTGCTACGGAGGAAAGTTCAGATTCTTTTTTTACGTAAACCAAAGGTTACTAATTGCTTTATTCATTAAAATCTTTTTAAAAGATTTTTATTTTAAAGTTAGTGCCTCGCAGTGTTCCAGAATCAAGGTTATTCTAAATCCTGAAGTTGTTCGGAGCCAACCCGGTAACCACCTGGGAAGAAATCACATCAGTAGAAAGTCATTGGATTCGGAGTCGATTTCTACGATTCCTAGCTTTAAAAAATTGGGAACTTAACTGCCTACCATTGACACATTTGACACTCTGCTTTGCTTCATCAAATCAAATTTTGTAACCTGGCCCTGAGGTTTATAAGGGCTATCGCATTCTGTTTGGAAACAATGATACCGCAATGAGAAATAGCCCTGAGATTAGCTGTTTGCCACAGCCTCATCAAGATAAGCCAGATCTCGAACTAAAAAATCCATGCATACATCACTACATCAGAATTATAAAGTTTTATCTGCTCAGAATCTAGTTTTGAGATATTCGGCGGAAAAAAAAGTTGTTAGTTTCACAATATTATTTTTATGTCAAGATTTTCCGAATGAAATTCTTTGAATATCTTGATAACAGCTCCGAATAATCGCACGATTTTGATACAGCACATAGTAGAGCTGGGCGAAGAATCGAACCTGGAACCGATTCCCAAGATTAATACTACGGAAGAAAAGTTCCGACTTCGTTTACGAAAACCAACGGTTACCAATAATTTTAATCATTTAAATCCTCTTTTTTTTTCGAATTTATTTTTGAAAAAAAAAAACACGTTGTGGCTTTGTAGTGTTCCGAAATCAAGTTTATTCTAAATCTTGAAGATGTCCGGAGCCATTTAGGTAACCACTGAAAGAAGTAATATCATTAGAAAGTAAGTAATTGGGTTCGGAGTCGATTCCTACGATTCCTAGCCTTCAACAATTGGGAACCTCGCCGCCCAGCACTAGCACATAGAATATTAATTTTGGTTTTTAACCTCACGGTCTTAGTAACTCATATCGGTCCACATTGTCAGATACAACTTTGTTATTGTGAGGTAGCGAAATTTGTTTGATTTTGAAGGATTGGATTACTTAATTAAATAAAATGTATTGATGGCTCTTGCCCTTAGTTGAAGAAAAATAAGACCGTCCACAACGGTATTAAATTCATATGAAATGGGAGTTTGAGGAACTATCTGCTGTGCCCACTGGGTATTAGTGTTGTAGCGGTAAGCAATTTGTTGCCATACACAGGAGCCCAGGAGTTCGAATTCGGAATGGGAAGAATTTTTGTAGAGTATCTCCGTCTGTCTACGAGGGTTTTGTATCCCTCTCAGCCTGGTTGGCCCTGACTAACAGGGTTGAATCCCGCCTCCTAAATGATCTAAACTGTGTCGAAAGAGGAGTAAAATCAATCAAATTAAAAACAAAAAAGGGTTTTACCGTAGTGTTTGTCTTGGACGTATGTCTTGGGGTACCCAGCCACACAGGTATCGTTGCACCTGGGTGTATCTCCAACTTTTGGACATTTCTTATACTTCCCGGTCACGTAATGGTCACATTTGGGGAGGGCATACGGCATGCATCCCTGGGGAGATAGACAGATAGATAGATAGATAGATAGATAGATAGATAGATAGATAGATAGATAGATAGAGAGAGAGAGAGAGAGAGATAGATAGATTAGATAGATAGATAGATCATAAGTTTATCGGTACCTTGCTGCGTGCTTTAATTTTAAACACTCTGTCCTGTTAGCCCTAAGACGGTGTTACATATTACCGTGGATATAAAAAACACGAAAAAATGGAAGTAAATGTAATTTTGAATGGTACCAGTCAGCCTCTTCGCTGCAGTAGAATGCCAACTTGGTCTTATGCCAGTTGTTTAAAGTTCAAATTTGTGAGGGGTTTTGGGCTTCAACCGAAAGATGTTTTTACACAAGGAGGAAAGTGATTCGACCATGGCAGACCCTGTTTAGAAATATTATAATTCAAGTCTGTACCTGAAACAACAAAACAAACAAATAAACAAAACAACAAGCAAACAAACAAACAAACAAAAAAACAATAGACAAAAGCAATAGCTAACAAAACAGAAACCAAACTGAAAAAAAAACCAAAACAAAAGTATTGAAATGGATGGCAGAAAGCTCACAAAATAAAGTAGAAGTTGAAAGGGGAGGGGGGTGGTGGCGGGAGGAAAGGATCTTATATTATTTTGCCCGCCCCCGCCCCCTGCACCTTAGCCCCACACATGTACCCACCCACATACACACACACACACACACACACACACACACACACACACACACACACACACATACACACATTCCGAAACGGAGAGGGGGAGGAGGATCAAAGAACAAAATTATGTAAGCCAATTGCTAAGGTTGAGCTGTGTAAGTTTAACCTGATTGCTGCCGTACTGACCACCAGTGACCACTCCTCCAGTCGTGTACCAGTACCAGGCAGCGGAGTGCGAGCCTCCCTGGCACCTGTAGATTAAACATTTTGATCAGTATTAAGGGGAGTGATTCAGGAGGGGTGGGGTGTGGGGTGGTTGATGAGTTAGATAAACATTATTTTTAGAGGGACAGAGTGTAAAAATTGGGGTTTTCTCTAATTAAAATTTGTGTGGACATTTATTCCTGAAAAAATGCCCAGAATGCCTGGGGGGATGGGGGGTCGGTCTTAGAGCAAAATATTTTCCAGTTTTTTCTTTAAAAATAAAAACATGTTTTACATAGTTTTTAACTCATCAGTACTGATGGGAAACCCCATTGCTGCACTGAAGAAAAGACAATAGACTCCAATTTAACACTACCTCATCTCACTGATATAATACAAAGGCGCTGGCTTCATTGTTTGTCTGATCTCCTCACACAGAACACAAGTGTACACAGTACGCAAGAGATCACCAACAGGCAACACGCCCACAACTTCATTTATTAAGTGCACAAACACAATCTTAGCCCAATGACATCAACACGGCAATAAAGGCTTAACTAAAGAACACACAGAGAGCAGAAGAAAAGGGAGAAAAAATGGTGTGTGTATTGGGGGGGGGGGGGGGCATGCTCAGTCTACGCTTTGGTCTGGAGCCGCGAGGGAGTGCAATCTAGGTGTCAAAAGTCAACCGATGCCTAGGCACATGACACTGCACGTCGGTGTGGCTTCATCCCCTGATCCCAAAAGAAAAAGCCAGAGAAGTAACTTTTTGGTTTTGGTAAAGAAAACAAGGTGAGGTTGAGGCTGCAAGCCCCCATACCACACGACGCCATTGGTTTCAAGTACCCTAGAATTAAAACTAAAGCAGACATCAAAATCTTTTCTGGGTAATTAAAGAGCTTCATATTTCCTATATACGTTTTAAATTAGAAAAGAGTTTTGTTAAAGAACAAGTGGATGAAACGGGATCGGAATAAGTAAACATAATTCAATATGGCCCCCGTTTCCATAGCGAACCGAAATTACGTCAAAGTGCACAGTCTGTCTGTCTGTCTGGAGGGGTCATCTCTGACTCAGAGGTTGATGTGTAATGACCCATCACCTTTCATGGTCATGAGCTGCATTTGCACATCCCGCCATATCCAGGCCAGTCCATGTTTTTATGTTGTCCATCCGAGTTACTCTTTGTCTTCCCCTGGCCCTTCTGCCCCACGTCCTTTTTTCAAGCACCTCTTTCACAATGGTCTCGTGTCGTTTAAAGTGGCAATAGTATGGCATTTTCCTAATTCTATTTTATTCAGCACCTCATTGTTCGGTGGGTTTTGCTGGGGGTTTTTGTTGTGATTGTTGTTGTTGTTTTTTTTTGGGGGGGGGGGTTGTTGGGGTTTTTTGCTTTCCAACTTATTCTAGTATTTCTACGGTAGCACCACATTTCAAACGCAGCTATTTTGTTTTCTTCTTTCTTTGTCAAAGTTCACGTCTCAGCGTCATATCTAAACATGTGGAAGATGTAGCTTTCCAGCAATTTCTTTCTTAAAGGTGATAGTTGCCTGGATTTGATCTAAAGTTTGTGGATTCGGTTCACAGTCAAGAACGTTCTAATACAAGTACAAATCTATGGAAGTCGCTCACCCGTTGCCACAGAATGAGCAGCAGCTGGTCAAGTCTTGAGCAGAAATGTGCACCTCACCGCCCCCTTTGATGCAGATTCTATCTGTCATCGCCTCCACAGAGCCAAAAGCCTGGACAAATAATATACAAGAAATATAAATCAATGAAGGAATGAAGGAAGGAAGGAAGGAAGGAGGGAAGGAAGGAAGGAAGGAAGGAAGGAAGGAAG